TAAAGGAATGATAAAAGGGTAGCTTATTGAATATACTTTTAAACTGAAACAGCAACTACTAATATTTTGCATTGGTAAGAATTTTTGCATAATGATGCAAATTAAATCTTAATTCTGTTATACTGACTATATGTTGCTACTCTTGTTTATGGTATTGTACTAATGCAGCTCATTTAAAAATGTAATGTATAATTAAAAATAAGGTTAGTAGTTAGTCATCTGTAATAATCAAACAATTACAATAATAAACAATAATTAAAAATTAGGTATGTTTTCAAGGTTAAACAGAGATATAGTTTAGATAGATAAGTAGTTTTCAAACACTTCAGAGACCTATAGGATAGGCTTTTTTATTTAAGATGTTTTCCTCATATAAGGCTTTTCATGATAGTGAGACAAATGAGACATATCTGCTCCTGACAGCACCAATTTACTTCAAAAAAAGATGATGGGCACTGAAGACCCTCCATATGGGGTTTGCTTTCAATGGGGCAAACTCAGACACTGGACAACAAACTGCCCTTAATGTAGCATGATTAATAAAAACCAAGCGATATTGCAGTTCAACCTGAAGGTCAGAAAAGCAAAACAGCCAGCCACTAGCTCTTAGCTCTACCTCAGTCTGTAACAGCAATCCTGCCTCCAGGAATCTCAGAATCAGACTGTGGTACACCTGCTGACAATAGTTGTCCAAACTGGACAAGCAGAACACAAAAGAAAGCAACTGACAAACTTTGCCAAGACAAGGAAGAACACTTCTTCAAAATTCCTGCTTCACAAAAAAGAGTCTGTCAGATAGTCTAGGCCTAGGGCCATAGAACAAATTTTTATACATCCCACAAACTAAGAAGGGGTTTAACACTTTTACAAAGTTGTCAAAACCACAAGGATGTACACACAAGCAAATGGACCTAAGAAACATGTGGGGGTGGTTATACTAATTTCTAACAAAATTGACTTCAAAATAAAATCAATCAGAAGAGATGGAGGTGGATATTTCATACTCATAACAGGAACAATTCATCAGGAGGAAGTCTCAATCCTGAATATCTATGCCCCTAATATAAAAGCACCCAAATATGTAAAAGAAACATTACTAGAATTCAACGCACACATCAAACCACACACTCTAATAGTAGGAGACTTCAACACTCCTCTATCACTAATGGACAGGTCAACCAGACAGATACCTAACAGAGAAATAAGAGAATTAATGGAAGTAATGAATCAAATAGACTTAACAGACATCTATAGAACATTCCACCCAAATAGGAAAGAATATACCTTCTTCTCAGCATCTCATGTAACCTCGAAATTTGACTACATACTCGGTAACAAAGCAAACTTCCACAGATACAAAAAAAAATATTAATAACCACCTGTGCCTTATCAGATCACCATGGAATAAAGTTAGAATTTAACAATAATTCTACCCCCCAGAAAGCCTACAAACTCATGGAAGCTGAGCAGTCAACTACTGAACCACCCCTGGGTCAGGAAAAAAATAAAGAAAGAAATTAAAGTCTTCCTTGAATTCAACGAAAATAAAGACACAACAAATCCAAACCTGTGGGACACTATGAAAGCAGTGCTAAGAGGAAGCGTCATAGCACTAAGTGCCCATATAAAGAAAACGGAGAAAGCACACATTAGAGACTTAACAGCACAGCTGAAAGCTCTAGAAAAAAAAGATATTCACCCAGGAGGAATAGAAGACTGGAAATAATCAAACTGAGGGCTGAAATCAACAAAATAGAAACACAGAACAATCCAAAGAATCAATGAAACAAAGAGCTGTTTCTTTGAGAAAGTCAATAAGATTGACAAACCTGTATCCAAACTAATCAAAAGGCAGAGAGAGAACATGCAAATTAACAAGATCAGAAATGAAAAGGGGGACATAACAACAGACACGGAGGAAATTCAGAGAATCATTAGATCTTACTACAAAAGCCTGTATGTCACTAAATCGGAAAATGTAAAAGAAATGGACTTGTTTTTAGATAAGTACCTTTTACCAAAATTAAATCAAGACCAGGTGAACAATTTAAATAGACCTATAAGTCGTGAGGAAATAGAAGCTGTCATAAAAAAAAGCCTCCCAACCAAAAAAAGGCCCAGGACCTGATGGTTTTAATGCAGAATTTTATCAGAACTTACAGAGAAATATCACCTTTCACGATAGCCACAAATAGCATAAAGTATCTTGGGGTAACTCTAACCAAGGAAGTGAAAGATCTATTTGACAAGAACTTTAAGGCACTAAAGAAAGAAATTGAAGAGGACACCAGAAAATGGAAAGACCTCCCATGCTCTTGGGTGGGTAGGATGAACATAGTAAAAATGGCAATTCTACCAAAGGCAATCTATAAATTCAATGCAATCCCCATTAAAATCCCAACAAAACTCTTCACACACCTTGAGAGAACAATAATCAACTTCATATGGAAAGACAAAAAACCCAGGATAGCCAAACAATCCTATACAATAAAGGAATTTCTGGAGGCATTACCATCCCTGACTTCAAACTCTATTACAGAGCTACAGTAATGAAAACAGCTTGTTATTGGCATAAAAACAGAGAAGTTGACCAATGGAATCGAATAGAAGTCCCAGATATTAACCCACAAACCTATGAACACCTGATTTTCGACAAGGAAGCTAAAGGTATACAATGGAAGAAAGCATCTTCAACAAATGGTGTTGGCAGAACTGGATGTCAACCTGTAGAAGAATGAAAATAGATCCATATCTATCACCATGCACATAACTCAAGTCCAAATGAATTAAAGACCTCAATATAAATCTGAACACACTGAACCTGATAGAAGAGAAAGTGGGAAGTAGTCTACAACATATGGGCACAGAAGACCACTTCTACGTATAACCCTAGTAGCACAGACAATAAGGGCAACATTGAATAAATGGGACCTCCTAAAACTGAGAAGCTTCTGTAAAGCAAAGGACACTGTCATGAAGACAAAAGTGCAACCTATTCATTGGGAGATGATCTTCACCAACCCTGCAAGAGACAAAGGTCTGATCTCCAAAATATATAAAGAACTCAAGAAACTAGACTTTAAAATGCTAATTAACCCAATTAAAAAAAAATGGGGCTCAGAACTGAACAGAGAATTCTCAACTGAAGAAGTTCAAATGGCCAAAAGATACTTAAGGTCATGCTCAGCCTCCTTAGCGATCAGGGAAATGCAAATCAAAACCACTTTGAGATACCATCTCACACCTGTCAGAATGGCTAAAATAAAAAACATCAATGATAGCCTATGCTGGAGAGGATGTGGAGTGAGGGGAACACTCATCCATTGTTGGTGGGAATGCAAACTTGTGCAGCCACTGTGGAAACCAGTGTGGCGGTTTTTCAGAAAATTTGGGATCAACCTACCCCAGGATCCAGCAATACTACTCTTGGGAATATACCCAAGAGATACCCTATCATACTACAAAAGCATTTGTCCAACTATGTTCATAGCAGCATTATTTGTAATAGCCAGAACCTGGAAACAACCTAGATGCCCCTCATTGGAAGAATGGATCAAGAAAGTGTGGAATATATGCACATTAGAGTACTACTCAGCAGTAAAAAACAATGACATCTTGAATTTTGCATGCAAATGGGTGGAAATAGAAAACGCTTTACTGAGTGAGGTAACCCATACCCAAAAAGATGAATATGGTATATACTCACTCATTAGTGGATTCTAGACATTAATAAAGGACATTGAACCTATAATTCATGATCCTAGAGAAGCTAAATAGGAAGGTGAATCCAAAGAAACATGCAGTTATCCTCCTGGAAATTGGAAGTAGATAAGATTGCAAGTCAAAAATTGAGAGCCTTGGGGGTGGGTGTGGGGTCGGGGTAAGGGGAGATGGGTAGAGAGAAGTGTGAAGGGGAGGATGGGGAGAGCTTGGGAAATGGGATGGTTGGGATGGAGGAAGAGTAGATATGGGAGCAGGGAAGTATAGAACTTAATTAAGGGGGTCATTTTAGGGTTAGCAAGAGACTGGACTCTAGAGGGGTTCCCAGGTGTCCAAGGAGACGTCCCCAGCTTGTTAAGCAGCTGAGGAGAGGGCACCTAAACTGGCCCTCTCCTATAGGCACACTGAAGAGTATCTTGCATATCATCATAAAATCCTCATCTGGCGATGGATGGAAATAGAGACAGAGACCCACACTGGAGCACTGGACTGAGCTCCCAAGGTCCTTATGAGGAGCAGAAAGAAAGAGAACATGAGCAAGGACGTCAAGACCGCGAGGGATGAGTCCATCCACTAAGATGGTGGGACTGGTCTAATGGGAACTCACCAAGGCCAGCTGGACTGGGACTGATGGAGCATGTGATCAAACCGGACTCTCTGAATGTGGCTGACAATGAGGGCTGACTGAGAAGCCAAGGACAATGGCATTGGGTTTTGATTCTACTGCATGTACTGGCTTTGTGAGAACCTAGTCTGTTTGGATGCTCACCTTCCTAGAACTGGATGGAGGGGGAAGGACCTTGGAATTCCCACAGGGTAGGGAACCCTGACTGCTCTTTGGACAGCAGAGGGAGGGGGAGGGGGAATGGAGGGAGTGGGAGGGAAATGGGAGGAGGGGAGGAGGTGAAAATTTTTAATAATAATAATAAAAAAACCTGAAAAAAAAAACCCTGGCAAGAGAAAACTTAATTTAGCCACCAAGCTAACAAGTCTATTTGTAACGCTGTAAAGACATAAAACCTGTCAGAAGATTTCTTTTTCCCTAGGGAAAAAAAGGTAAATTTTCATTTCAGGAGTGATTAAGTTACCTTGGCAACTGAGTTTTAATAAAATCTATCAAATTTACTTTGCTATCAAACTAATGACATCACAAAAAGAGTTATAAACAATACAATATCAAGTTCTATTTTCCAAACAGCACATGCATTAACTTGCATAACAAAGGCAGTCAATAGGCTGTGTGTTGCTTATAGGCAAACAGAAAAGTAACATGGTCTCACTTGTGAAATATGATTGATTGAAGATTCCATCCTCCGTAATTGGGATGCCTGGATATCCAGCATCTGTAGGACATTGTTGGCCAAAGTGTTTATCAGATACGCAACACTTGCTAAGGATTGGGTTGTGTAGGCTTTGGTTTCTTCTAGGGCTCGCTGCTTATCTGATGACTAGAGGGGGAAAAACAGTGATCATTAATTTAAAGATAATTCAATTCTAGCAAACTAACTTATTTGCCTGAAAGCTTCTGTTACTGAATCTACACCAAGCCAAAAACATTCTGAAAATCACTGTTACGCAAATGCAAAAACTAAATGATTCAATGAATTTACTGTTATTTTCAAGTTAACTATACATCTTTGTGTAAGTACAAATAAAATCCTGAGACTATAATTTAAAATCTAAGCTCTAACGACTACTTTGAGCAATGGCAGCATATATACATCTTCCCAATTTCATCATTTAGGCAGCACTGATGTGAATGTATAAATTCTACCTACTCTACTCTCCAAAACCTGATTTCCTTTCATTCTCATGCATAAAATGTCTGATCAATGTATCAATAATAATAAATAAAATGGCTGTTAATAAAAATAAATGTTTCTTGAATGTGGCCGGATTCTCTGAATGTGGGTGGCCCGGAGTCTTTCTGAAAAGCCATTGACAATGACACTGGGACTTGTTTCCTCTGCATATACTGGATTTTGGGGATCCAGTCTGTTTGGATACTCACCTTCCTGGACCTGGAGGGAGGGGGGAGGAACTTGAACTTCCCACAGGGCAGGAAACCCTGACTGCTCTTAGGGATGGAGAGGGAGGAGGAGAGGGAGTGGGGGGAGTGGGAGGGTGTTGGGAGGAGGGGCGGAAATGGAAACTTTTATAATTTAATAAAATTACTTTCTCATCAAAATAAATAAATAAATAAATAAATAAATAAATAAATAAATAAATAAA